CCCCCCTTCTCTGAGAATCATCTCAAGGGCAAGTGAAAGAAAAATTACAAGCGCTACTTGAGTGTGAGTGTCATCTCTAGAACGAGTGAAAGAAAAATTACCGAAATGGGAAGCAAACAAAATGTTGGTACATAGCTGTTTGAAACTATTGGTATTGGCAGGACTGTTTTCGGTGTTCTGTAGGATTTTGCTCACGATTTTCTTCACGCTAAGATGCAGATGTCGGGATTTCGGGGCTAAAGCTGTTACCCTTATGAAAAAAATGTACATATTAATTTTTTGATAACTGATTAAACTTGTAAAGCTAAAAGTGAAAAATTCTCAAAATCGGTTGCCGCAAGGCAAATCGTTTTTTTGGAAAGTTATTACATTGCAAAGATGGATGGATGTACAATTCTTGTTCGAGTTAATGCGCTCCAACATAGAAAGGATCGCGAGCAAATCTCGTGCAGACTCTTCCAAATATCTATTGCAGATAGAAACGTTAAAAAAATGGTTATTTGGTTGAAGACTAGAGGTATTCCCTATCTGATACTTCAGTCTAACAATAAGGCACTAGTCGATCGCATGGTTCATGCTCGCAGAAATCGCAGTCAAGTGCATGCAAACCGAACCCCAAATGAATGGCCTAGTGAAATGGATTCAAAAATGGATTCAAATCTACGAGCAATCCTTTGCCAGCGGCAGTTATTGTCATCATTTCTGATTGTTTTACGGAATTTTCAGTAAATTCCATCTGCTTTCATAGTATGAAACGAAGTTGTTGAAACAGCTGTGTCGGTCGATAACAACGCGACCTACTAGAACGTATATAGTTGTATTCCAAAGTAGTAAATCTGTTGCAGTCCATTCACTGTGCAACGATGTTGGCCCTATTCGGAGTGCTCTTCTTGGCATATTCTGCTGAGGCTCAATACAAGAGCTGTGCAAACGGAGGGCTTGGACGTAAGTGTTCATCTGCTGTTATTCCTATGTGAATTTCAGTAAACATTTTCTTCTCATCAACTTGAATAGTCGTGCACTTTCTTGCTAAATAGCGTCCTGCGACGAAAGTCGGTAAGAAGACCGTGCATGTGATTAGCCTTCATGAATGGTAAATAACTGAGTTCTCAAAGAGATGCCAAACTGTTTTAATAGGGCTTCACCCTGATCTATGAGTGAATATGAATAATTGTCTTTAACCAAAAACGCACCGGGACGAGAAATCACCAGTTTTACCTGTACCAGCAAACTCGGTAGCATGGGTCAGAAGGCGCCAATGCGGTCGCTGTATCGGAATTAGGTCACCGCAAGCATTGTGACCCTTTCTCATCGTCAAGAATCTTCCTCATCTAGACATTAGGGGATGAAGAGTCCTCAGATTAACGAGTGAGATTGGTTCCGACGCAGTTACAACTCCTGTCCAATTCTTATAATAGTTATATTAATATGGTCCAGGTCATTGACAAAAGCAAAAAAGCTCCCAGTGCTCATAATGAACCTAACTAAAGGCGCATTTACAATGCATTTTAAGGCGAAAAGCCTAGTTGGTGTAGTAGAGGCAGGGTTTTCGAAACAGAGGTGGACCATCAGTTTCAATAGAGAGACGTGCGCCAAGCGCTTTGAATCAGGCACTTATTCATTGGGCAAAGCATGGAAAAGAAGGCTTGAATAGACGGACACTTGAATGCCCATATTCCTCTCCAGGAACCTCCAGTCGAGCTGTTCTACCCTTTCATTGCCCAATGCAAAGGAGGATGTTAAGCATTCTTGATTCAGACTTAACACTTCGGGAAGGGAATTTCATGGGTGAGATCAGCACAGAAACCTTTATAGAAGCCCACAAATGGTGCACTGAAAAAACGTAAAAACTCCTTCTTTTGATCTTCACTTTTCCTATCCATGCTCGGACAAGCTACTGTTGATCTACGGTCGATGGCGCCGATCCCTCGATTTGCCGTCGTCCCTTTCCCATGTCTGCGTCCTCCTCCTTAACCATAGCGTCTGATTTTTTTGCTGGTCCCTCGATTTCGTTGAGCCGAGTCTTTTTTTGAGCCCATCGATGTCAGAGATCAAGGCAACCGGTCCCGTTGGGGATGATCTGAAGATCAAGAGAAAAGCATTTTTACAATTTCGACTATATTTTCTATATAGACATGTAGAGCTCTTGATACTGGAGCCAGCTATGAAGTTCATTGGCAAATAGCAAACTTTGAAAGCAGTAATTTCAAGATGAGTGTATGAGTGATCAACATCAGCTTGAGCCCTTGGGATAGGAATGACTTGAGGAGAAAATCGTTTGGTAAAAGAATGTAAAGGGCTCTAATGCTCCGAAGCAAAAGGTCATGCGCTATCGCCAAGGACAATAGATGCGTCACTCGCTTAGTCTCTCCTTGGGGAAAGCTTCTCTCTATTACCGGAACCCCAAAACTACCTCTGGGGACCTTCACTAATCATACCATTTCATCATAGATGAAGTCATATGTCGTCAAAAAAAAAAACAAACGCCATTATTTATTTGAGTTACCGTAACCCTATCCGCGAATGACACCCCGTCTTTTTTTTCGGTATTTTCCTGTGTGGACACCAGCAAATCAAGTCATACCGTATCAAATGAATATATTGGGAGAAAATAAAGCAGGAACTAAGGCTGCAATTGCTATTGCAAAAAAAAANAAAAAAAAATTAATTTTACATTCCTAACCAATGGTGAGAATAATTCAGCATGCGTAGTCGGTGCTTGTCCATCACCGACAACACAAACGTGCATCCAAACTGGTCCTGGTACAGAAGTGTGCTGTGAAAATTCATTGGTTAGTCAGAACTTTTCAATCGAACCTTTTGTGTTCTTATATTTTTGCAATTTCCCTATTTCAGTGTAAATTAGTTCCTTAGTTGGAGATTTAAAAACAATTTTTCAAAAAAGTGATTATGTGCCAACTACTATGGTCAGTTTCAAACGTACGTAGGCATTAAGTGGATGGGCGGAGTTGTCAAGGTCGTCCCTTCTCGCTTTGGGATACCTGCCTTTGACCCTGTAGAGGAACGGAATTGAATGTTTGTTTTAGAACTTCGGAAATCAAATTTTTCTGTTTTCGAGCTCACGAACGTTCCTGCCCAATTCCTTGTGGGGGCTTAGGACTAATCTTGGGCGACCAAAAAATTCACTCGCCAGAGGGGTATGCAGTATCAATCAGCGCTATAAACTTCCTGGAAATGCTGGGAAACTAATTGTAAATATGAAAGTATCATTAAGTGTTTACCATTTGTTTTTGAGAGTTGTTACGGGCAAAATATTTATGAGTTATTGATTTATAGATGAAATTTTCATTCAGATCATCGAAGCCACTACTACTACTACTGCAGCCCGTGAGTATTTCTCGATTTGGTGTCCCGATGTCAGATCTTTAGTCACCCTAGAAGCAGATAGGTGTCGTTCTGTGAATCCTGTACTAGCAAAGGCCTTGGAGGGGGGGGGGGGGGGG